TTTCCTCCTAGCTATTTTTGACATGCAAATTGATTAACATTAATTGTCTTCCCTCCTTCCCTCACCTCCAGATGGTCAGGTATCCACTCAATCCCAGTGACTCCTTTACTGTGTCCAGCATCAATTGATGAAAGAGCAACATAACTGACAATAGGAGCATGATCAAGCTTTGGCTCAGTATTAAACAATGCCTATAGATAATAATGAACATACACTGTACATGTGTATATGCATACTTACCATATACTGTACATATGCATCACAACTATATGTACATGTATGTATTAGTATTTAGTAATGTGCTGTATGTGTGTATATACATGTAGTACATGTACATGTATATTGTGTGTACATACGTTCATTACTGGTCCTTTCTCTTTTGTATTGATTGAGCGATGAATCTGTAGTCTCTCCTGATAGTCTGTTATATCCCATATTACAACCTATACATGTAACGAAAATGAAGCAAATACATGTATACATGTACATTCTTTACCTGTCCGTTGATGCAGCCTCCAACAATGAGGTTTGGATTGCTTGGATTGAATTTGAAACACAAAATATCTTCAGGAGCTTCTAAAAATAACTAGAAAAAATAAAATAAAATAATTATACAAAAATTAAAATGTAAATGAATTTAGGCACACAATTAGGATTGATATGAATGATACAGCTAGTACAGTGTATGCACAAAGGTATACAGTGAAACCTGCTATTGTGGACAGCCTAAAATAAGGACACCTCTATAATCAGGACAGGTAGTATCAGTCCCAATACAATATAAATGTGTATTAATGAACCTCTGAAATAAGGACACCTCTATAATAAGGACAGTTTTATTTGGTCCCAAGGTGTCCGGAATAGACAGGTTTGACTGTAAAACATAATGCACATATTATTACTTGAGGGTGAATGGGATCAGTGAAGCTCCATAGAAGAACAAGTGAGTTTGAGTGAACTAGTTTAAATGATAATTCTATCCTTTCATTGAGTGAGTATGGCTCACCAACTGATACAGCAACTATACCTAATGAACACATTACATGATACTCTAAG